CCTTGCACAACTTCCCTGTACTTAGGACGGCACCTGTTGTTAACATTTTACCCCAATTGCTTTACTATTTGCAGTCTAGCTGTTTACCTGAACACACTGACAAGTTTTCCCTAAACTCTGTTAGTAAGTTAAGTTGCATATATTCTGGCTCTTTATTTCTAAATTACTTCTATGTGTATTTCCTAAGAACAGGGATAATCTCTTACATAATCACAGTAGGGATCTTGGTTTTAGTAGTCATGTCTCTTATCCCTTAATCTGGAACATGTCACTGATTTTATCTTTTATGGCACTGGCACTTTTGAAGGAAACAGCGTCCTCTCCTTTTTCTTAGTAGAACATTTCTCACTGTCTAATGTGTCCTTGTGATTAGATTGAGGCTTTACATGCTTGGTTAGAGTGCTGCATAGGTTACGTTGTGCCCTTCTCAGGGTGCCGCTCTGGAAACACACTGTCCTATCTGTCTTTATTGAGATGTCTATTTTGATTACCTGGTGAAGGTAGTGGCAGATTTCACTGTATAAGTATTTTTCCCCTTCCTTGTAACTAATACAAAGTCTGGTGGGGGGACACTTACAGACACTGTAAATAGGAATCTTGTTGCTTGTCAGTATTTCCCCTGTGTTGACCAGCCATTGGTAATTTTTTGCCGAGATCTGTCTTTACCTTTGTGGTTACAGAATGGTGATTTTATTACTCCTCCAGTTTGTCTGCATTTACCAGGTGGCTCTTGTCATTCTTCTGTGCTTGGAGTCCTTCCTTCTGCAATCTATCTATCTTTAAGTTAGTGTGGACTCTTGACTTCCTATTTTTTACAAAATTTCTTGTAATTTATTACTATTCTTAATTGTTTAATCCTTGTATTGTCCACAGGAAGCCACTTCCCTCTGGCTTCTAAGTCCTTGAGATGGTTCTGTCATTTTTTTTTTTTTTTTTTTTTTAGTACCTCTTATTTTCTGTCAAAGTAGAATGTTTCAGGCTCATCTTGTACATACCCTAACCCAGGCTTAAAGCAACACCTCACAAAAGTTGTTACCTCATCTGTTTTTCATGTTTATTTTTTTATCACTGTTCTTCTCATATAATCTTCCAAGGTTGTTTTAAGTAGAAGCAGATACTAGGTACTACTTCAGTAAAATAGGAGTCACGAGGCTGAAATGCGGAGTTTGTTATTTGCGCTCAATGACTTCATAGGTGTGGGGAGAATACTCCTTCAAGGAAAACAGCTACTTTAATTCAAGTGTTTTTGGGATCTAAATTTCAAGTGCCTTTGAAGTGAACCAGGCCTTTTCCCTTCTTCTGGATATTTTGAGCATAAAGTAGTATGACTTAACGTTTTTTAAAAAGGCACTAAATGTATGAAAGCAGTTTATATCTTATTTTGCCTTTGGGAGTGAAAAAAAGAGGTTGATATTGAAAACTTTGTTAAAATGATTTCACCTTTTTAATGTTAGGCATCTCCCCTGATCCCAGAGGAAGACCCCGCTTGTCTTGGGGGATGGAAAGCCTCCCAGCAAGATATTGGGTCTCATGTGGAGAGAAAATCCTTCCTTGATCTTGATATATTCTTAGAGTTCCAGGTTAAAATAAAAAAATAAAAATAATTATAATAATAATAATTTTTTTAAATTTCTAAATAATTTAAACTGTGGGCCATAAGGTCCTTATTGTAATCACTCACCTGCTGTGGCTCCACTGTACTGCAGAAGTAGCCATGTATAAATGAATGGGCATGGCTAAGTAACAATAAAACTTTTATTTGTGGAAACTGAAATTTGAATTTCGTATTTTTCATGTTATAAGGCCTTCTTTTGATTTTTCTCCCCAACCATTAAAAAATTAAAAAAAATTTTTTTTCAGCTTGTGAGTCACACAAAAACAAGTGGTTGAGGGGTGGGACTAGGTTTAGGCTTATGGGTTATGGTTTGCCACCTTCCTTGTGCTGTAAAGGAAGAAACTTCTGCACTTTTATTTGCACTTTTTTCAAGTTATAATAATATTTTAATACTTTAAGAAATTGACTCTGCCAGCCACATACACCTAAGGTGGCGGGTTTGAATCCAGTCCAAGCCCGCCAAACAACAATGATGGCTGCAACCAAAAAAAAAAATAGCCAGGTGTTGGGGCAGGCACCTGTGGTCCCAGCTACTTGGAAGGCGGAGGCAGGAGACTCACTTGAGCCCAGGAGTTGGAGGTTGCTGTGAGCTGTGATGCCACGGTACTCTACCCAGGGGGACAGCTTGAGGCTCTGTCTCAAAAAAAGAAAGAAAGAAAGAAAGAAATTGACTCTTTTCATATGCTCTGCAGGCATCTTAACTATTTGCATCATGCCAAAGGATATTAAACATTTTCTAGCCTAAGCTTTTCAAAAATGTTTCCAAGAAAAGGTCTTATGTACACGGTGAAAGTATAGTTCTGAGTAGTGACTTAAATCAGCGTTCGTTCTATTTTACCAACTGTGAGAGTCCTTGTGTTAGGGTGCCTTGAAATGCTCTACTTCCAAAAACAGTTATTGTGTTAATAAGTAACTTTTTGACAAAGTAAGTTTAAGCTTGGAAATTATAGTTCATTCTGACTTTATGTTGCATTCAGCAGATTTTTGGCACCTTACCGTGTGTAGAGTGTTGTACAAGGCACTAGGGATAAGATACAGACTTAGGGATTTGGGAAATACTCAAGTTCTATTTCTCGAATTTACTACTGGAGCATTGCCGTTAATGGATTTGGTACCCAAGTTGACTTTATGATTTCCCTTTTTACTTTTAAGTGAAAAATTATCTTCTACTCAATTATGTTCCTGTGCTTAATAAGTTATGGCCACAGGGTGGCATGGTTCTCTTATAGTTTTTAATTGTTGCCAAAAAGGAACAGAAACAAATGCTAGATGTGATGAGAATTCATGCCTATAATTATAATGCTAAAACATCTTGTCTTTCTCTAAAATGGTTTTTCCCTAGTGTGTTATTTAGATTTGCATAATATTAATTCTCAGTGCTTTTAACCTTGATGTTTTAAAATCTTTTGTTATGGTTACAACACAAATTATGTAGTATTTATAATTGGAAGAATGGTAATTAGGGCTGTATTTTATAGTCTGTATTTAAGTTAGCCACTTGTCCTGATTTAAAAACATATAAAAATTGCTAAAGAATATTTGCAAGTAAAAGACAAAGGTAGATGTCTTACTTTCCAAATAGTTGCATTGTTGTGGGTGAAATTGTTGGCTTAAGATTTTTGTCTGATTCCAAGGGCTTAATGTTGGCATAGATAAAGAGGAGCAGCCGTGCCACATGGTCAGAAAACACAAACTGTTAGAAGAGCCATACAACCAAAGATAGACCAAGAGCTGAACACGTCTGGGGGCTTTCCTATGTAGCCATGGAGAGATGGGGGTGTGTTTTGAGAAGTCAGTCATTAGGCGATTTTATTGTTCTGTGCACATCAGAGTGCCCTTACACAAACCTGGAAGGTACAGCCTTCTGTGTGCCTAGACTACACGTGTAGTCTGTAGACTTATACAGTGTGACTGTACTGACTCTGTATCGGTTGTAACACAATCAGAAGTGTGTGTGTATCTAAATATAGAAAAGGAACAGTAAAAATGCCATTTTATAACCTTAAGGGATCACTGTTGTGAATGCCCAGCCCATGGCTGACTGAACATGTTGTTAGGCAGCGTGTCACTGTATTAGCTGTAGGGAGAGAAGAAACGGTCAAACCTGCAAAGGGGTTTTGGCCTAGGTCCATTTTCTCAGTGCACAAAGCCAATTCAGTTATCCAGACAGCGAGGATTGCCAAGAAGAGAGGACATTTTAATTGCAAAAGATGTCTTCTGGGGAGAAGCAGCCTCAAATCTGTCTCTCTAAGACAGTGGTTCTCAACCTTCCTAATGCTGTGACCCTTTAATACAGTTCCTCATGTTGTGGCGACCCCCAGCCATAAAATTATTTTTGTTGCTACTTAATAACTGTAATTTTGTTACTGTTATGAATCATAATGTAAATATCTGATATGTGGTATTTTCATTGATTGTGACCCACAGGTTGAGAACCGCTGCTCTAAGAGAGCACGGGCTTTGTGAGGAGGGGCCGTATGTATGGGGCAGATGGCGGTATAACAAACAAGGGGCCTTGTCCAGCAGGGGCATGTTGTGGGGGATGGTGAGTCTTGGTGTCTGGAAGTTTGCTTAAGGGTCTTCAGAATTTCCATTCCTTTGTCTTTCAGATATTTTGTTATTTCTAATAAACCACTCAGAAAAGTCATCAAGCCCTTTTGGCCCAAGAATCTAAAACATGAGAGGGAAAGTAGTATAAAAAAGAGGTAGGGGTCATTAAAATTTGTTTATGGAGCTGGTTATAGTACCATCTTAGTTGACATAGTCAAGGAGACTGAGGTTTAGTGGATCTGAGTGAAGACCTTTTAAGTGGGGTTTAAACTGAGATTTGCCAGGACCCTAAACTGATGGATACTCTTTGCACTCTTCTGTTTCCAGGCAAGCGTGTTAGAGTCTCTCCACCCTTAGGGAGAAGGGGTGGACTTGGTAGTGTTTTTGTGGGATGTAGAAATGAGAGAATTATCACTGCATCTGTGACATAGTTTTGGGGGAATTCTGAGAATGAGGATGTAACTATTTATTATATACTCTCTCTTCTGCCTTATTTGTGAATTTTCTTGAAGTTCTCTCTGCTTTTGTTACACATTCAAGTAAATACACAAACTGTTACCTTAATTAGTGTACTTGTTTGCTAGTTATCTCCTTTAAAATGTAGGTTTAAAGAACACAGAGATCTAATTTTCAGGTTTATTTTGTATTCTCAATGCCTAGAATATTGCCTGGTACATAAGTTCTCAGTCAATGTTTATATTTGTGTAAAACTACTAGAATGGGGGTACAGTTCAGTTGATAGACTTGATTTTCGCTTATATATGATGGTTTCATAAAGATAGGCTCCAAAGGGGAACTTACTAATGCAAACTTGCTGTATGGTTTCCTTTCTCAGGGCGATTGTGTTGTTACAATACTGCTTGCTGAAGAGGACAAAGTTGAAGATGATGTAGTTTTTTACTTGGTATTTTCGGGTTCCACCCTCCACCACTGTACAAGTACTCGGAAGGTCAGTTCTGATACGCTGGAGACCATCGCTCCTGGTAAGTATTCCAATGTGATCTGTACTAGCCTTTCCTAGTTCTTGAACACTTTGATTTTGTTTGTTGGTATGAGTGATAGGAAGAGTGAATTAGGGTGTTGTAGCTATTATAAGATCTTTGTTTTAAATATGGAGATGCTATATTTTGTTTATATCTTGCAGGTTCTACAAAAATCTGAATCTAACTTGACATAAAGGAAATAAAATGATGTCATAAATTAAAAAAATACAAATGAGGAGCAGCAAAAATATTGGAATGTTGAGATTTTGGAAAACTAAAACACATAGATAAATAGTTCTCACATGGAATAGCTTGAGCCCAAGAGTTGGAGGTTGCTGTGAGCTGTGACGCCATGGTACTCTACCAAGGGCGACATAGTGAGACTCTTGTCTCAAAGAAAAAAAAAAGGAGAAAAAAGTTCTCACATGGTTGTTCAAGTGGAACTGCAGATATGTTCTAAATTTCATGGTGGCAAAACCAAAAGGTATAAAACACAATTGATAACACATTCCTTAGTATCTGTGATAAAAAAAGCTTACAGAATCTTTCGTGAAGCCACGTTTTCCCCAAGTCAGGTTCATGACGGAATGAATGCTTAATGCTATTGCATGCGTAAGTTTAACAGAATTAAAAGGAAAATATTTACTTATTAAAAATTCTTATGAAGTCGTTAAGTCTTTGCTACTTTGACCAGAAACAGCTAATAAAGTAACAATAATCTCTTGGCCTGTCTCAGCATCTTAAGGTATACTGATTCGTATTTGGAGAGGAGCTTCTTTCCTTAATTGACCTTGCTTCAAAGTTAACAACTGACCAGTGTTCATCAGAATTCAAGAAGGCACATTTAGAGGGAATGAGGGAATCCCTAAAAATGTCTTCAGTTTAACTGTTTTCCTTTAGAGCATTGGTTCTCAACCTTCCTAATGCCATGGCCCTTTAATATGGTTCCTGTGGGTTGTGACCCACAGGTTGAGAACCACTGCTTTAGAGAGTAAAATGGATATAGTTTTATTGAAACTTTTTAAACCAGCAGTTTTATATGGCACTGATTTCTCTTTGTTGGCATAAGTGGTATAAAGGTTATGATTTATGAAGCATTTGAATATCTGATCTTGCTGGAGTTGGATCATAGAGCCAGTTTTGTTTTGTGCGATTCTATGTATGTTAACTTTTATGTCCGCTAAATTCTGTAGAGTATACCTCATTTAAGAGCTGCAATTATGACAGTTGGAAGATTTAATTATCTTTCTACTTGGCAAAAATGATTTTGAAAATTAAAGGATTTTAAGATTCCAGATAGTCTGTAGAAATATTCTCTCTACATTTTTAGGGAGAGGAAATACAAGGTGGCAGTCAGGATAGATATGATTTCTTTTCTGAAGAATATTAGATGTACCTCTTTGTCACTTAAAGCTCCAGTCCTCCTGTTTCCTGTGATGTCTGTCCTATCAGTGAGGCTTATCTGTAACTTAAGATCTGCTTTCCAGTAGGTGCCATCCAGTATCACTCTTGCAAAACCCATAGTTGGTAATGGGAGAAGCAGCTCCTTAACTAAGTGTAATTGGTCAGCACCTGACTGGACTCTGATTAGGAAAAGAGTGGGGGTAATTTTTATAAACTTACTTCTTCCTGAATTAGGAACACTTCAGGATTCAAGCTGAGGGGAGATGTATGTATGTGTGTATATATGTGCATAAATAATCTAAAGAGAGCTTATAATTAGTTTCCAGGAGAATACAAGTGAGGATAAAAGGCAGATGTGACAGGGATATAGCCCTGGATCGTCAGTCACAAACCCCAGCAAAGTCAAGTTTCTCAGTGGAGAGGAATGGGCCTGGAAGCTCTTACAACTGCAGAGGCAAGGTCCTTACATTAGTGTGGATGGCAGGCAGTTACTGTCCTTGGAGTCACAAGTCCACCGTACCTGTAGGACAGCTTGGGGCTCTGAGTTTGGACCAGATCCTATGTGATGTCTTTGGCCTAACTTTTGGAGCTCTCGTTCCCATTTCTTCCCTTGCCTTTAGTTCTCATACCTCCTTATGTCTGTCTCAGTACCTGTTCTTTTCCAGCCACACTCTTCTCTGGGTATCCATTTGTGCTTAGTGACTGAATTCCCTTGCCTTGCCAAATCTGGCCAACCACAATGGGTACTGTACTTGGCTTTCTTCTAATTTGGTCTGAATCCTCAGCAATCATTTCTGACCCATTTTCTTGTGGCCTGAATCCTAGTACCTGCCTTCTTCATTTTCTTCTAGTCAGTTTTCTTCTTACCTGTGGCCCATCCTTACAGCACCTGATGGTCCTGAATATCCCATGGGCCTGAATATTCTGGCACCAATCCAAATTTAGTCAGGTAGCTGGTAGGAGGTACCTCGTTATAATAGAGGTGACAAATAGAGTCTTTGAAAGACCTTCTTATACATGTGGAAGGCCAAATGAAGAACAAGGCAACACATGTGTGCCTTCCATATGGATGTTGAGTCCCAGCGATGTCTCTGGTTGGTGTATTAGAAGTTCTGTTAACTAAGCTAGAGATTCCTAAGCAGACCAACTGCTGTAGTCATTGTACATGGAAGTTTTCTGTTTACTTGTCTTTTTAGCTACTGTCATTTAGATTAGTTTGGTAATTTGTTGGGGAGGGATAGAGACAGAGGCATTTTGGGGCGTGAACTTAGTTTTGAATTTCTTGTTTGTATCATAGAGTTAACATTTTAGCTTAGAATTAAACTGCTTTAATGGCTGGACATGGGGGCTCATGCCTATAATCCTAGCACTCTGGGAGGCTAGGTGGGTGGATTGCTACAGTTCAAGATCAGCCTGAACAAGAGTGAGACCCCACCTCTGCTAAAAACAGAAAAGCTGGCCAGGCGTTATGGTGTACACCTGTGGTCCTCGCTACTTGGGAGGCCGAGGCAGGAGGATCAGTTGAACTCAAGAGTTTGAGATTGCTGTGAACTATGATGATGCCATGACACTCTACCTAGAGTGACAGAATGAGACTGTGTCTCCAAAAAAAAAGAAAAGAAAAGAAAAAGTAAATAAATAAATAAACTGCTTTAAACCTGCTTTTGTGGGCTTCTTCCCATCCTTCAGGTCTTTACTGGGATATCACTTTCTCAGTAATGCCTTTCTAAAGGAAATATAAAAATATACAGCTGCCCCTCCTCAGCTTCGCCTATCTCCTGTCCCTGCTTTATTTTTCTTCAGTGCACTTTTCAGCTTCTAACATACATATTTTACTCATTTGTTTTACTTATGTTCCGTCTGCCCCTGCAAAAGCATTAGCTCCTTAAGAGCAAGGATTGTCCTTTGTTTTGTTCACTGGCATATGCTTGCTCAGAAGGCTACTTCTCAGAACCCCTGTCACTGCTGTGTTGGCTCCACCCTGGTTCTCAGAAGTCGCTGTTCTCTAAAGATGCATGTGTGAGCATACACACACCTACACACAACCCCCTTTTATAAGAAACGCAAAAGAAGTCTTTGGCTTCTTGAGTTGCATTCTTAGCTTGTATCAGGAGAAGGTGTTCTTTTTCCAGAGCTACTTTTGATGAATTCTGTGTGTCAGTTAGCTGTATTGATAGCTTCAGATTTCCTGTCTGCTGACGGCAGTGTCAGACTAGACAAGATTCTTCACGAAAAGTCTGTACATGCCCTCTACAGTCCAGTTACTGGAGAAATGTGCATGATCTTTTGCAGCAGTTGCTACCATAGGGATGTGTTCACTCTTCTGCCTACATGTGGGATTTGCTCATCCAATTCCTATTCACTCTGGCTGACTACGAGAAGAAAAAGAGCTTTGTGCCTTGTTCTTGCTTTTAATGTCATGTTTCATCCCAGATTGCTGGCTCTGATTTTCCTTTTGAGTTCTCTGTATGTTTCACTGTCAATATTTTGTAATATATTAGGTTTTACTGAAACCAGATGATTGATTGACCTTCAAAAGGCAGCCCCTTTGCCTTCAGGTATTGAAAGTGGAGTCACATCTCCGGTTTTTAAATTTTCTCATCTTTTTTTGCATGTTTTCTAATAATCTTATGTTGAAGTATATGTGTGTATAATTATAAAGGCTTTTTAAAGTGATCTTTCTTGCCTTCCTACCATTGAAGGTTGTAGATGGGATAAGATTCTCTTTCTCTTTTCTTAATAAAGTGTGTTAAGAATAAGTAATAATATCTTAGGGGACAGGTAGGTGAAGACTTGGGTTTTCTACTTTATCTGCATTTGAATTGTTCGAATGCTTTACAGCAAGCATGTTACTTATATTAGTAATTTTTGGTAAAAATGTTTTGAAGGTTGAAAATAACCTTCTCTCTTCTGAAAATAAATCCATCTTTGTGACACACCAGCAAGTTTTATGACAAAGTATCACCTTCAGCACACCTATGAAGTAACGAGTTCAAGAATATAATTAACTTTGAGGCATTGCTCGAAAGGGGAATATCTCAAATAATGAACAGTGTAACAGTGTTGCTTTTGTCTCTTCACAGAAGACAGGTCTAATTCTAAATCTCATTTTAATTAACTGATGATTTTCCTCTAGAGATGAAGCTGCAATTATTTTTTTGAGACCTATGTAAGATTGGCAAATAGTGTAAAGAAATTTGAGCACAATTCTTGGGGTGAGACTATAGAGTACTGTTTTATGGTGTTCACTTTAATTAATGGAAATGTGAATTTAGACCAAGTAAACATTAATTGCTGAATGAAAATGGAACAGGATAGAGAGTAATGTTACAGAGCGGAGAGAGTGAGGAGGCTGCGTCTGGCTCCTGCTCTCACAGCCATTGCTGTACACTGAGCTCCATAGACACAGCGCCGGGGCAAGTGAGAGTCAGCAGGCACTGGGTGACTCTGTGCCTCACTGAGGAAAAATAACTAAACATGGGCAAAGGAGATCCTAAGAAGCCGAGAGGCAAAATGTCATCATATGCATTCTTTGTGCAAACTTGTTGGGAGGAGCACAAGAAGCAGCACCCAGATGCTTCAGTCAACTTCTCAGA